TCTTTCTGGTATTCTTTGCTTTCAGCCAAGATCTATCTGACATCAGCAATGATATCCTTCACTTCATGCCCTCTTTTTAATCTGGTTGAATTTCTGGCACTTCACTGTCGATGTATAGCTGCTGCTATATTTGCATTATCTGCAACAAAATTTTACTTGTGTGTGATATTAATGATATTGTTTTATAATTTCCACATTCCGTTGGATCACTTTTCTTTGGAATGGGCACAAATATGGATCTCTTCAGTCAGTTGGCCAAGTAGCTGTCTTCCAAATTTCTTGACATAAATGAGTGAGCACATCCAGCACTGCATTGTTTGCGGAAGCATTTCGATTCCTGAACCCTTGTTTTTTGCCAATTCTTTTAATGCAGCTTGGCCTCCTTCCTTCAATACCATCAGTTCTTGATCATATGCTACCTTCTGAAATGGTTGAATGTTAACCAATTATTTTTGGTACAGTGACTTTGTGTATTCCTTCCATCTTTTGTTGATGCTTCTTGTGTTGTTCAATATTTTTCCCATAGAATCCCTCAATATTGCAACTTGAGGCCTGAATTTTTTTTCTTCAATTCTTTCTGCTTAAGAAAGGCTGAGTGTGTTCTTCCCCTTTAATTTTCCAACTCCAGGTTTTTGCACATTTCATTACAATGTTTTTCTCTGTCCTCTCAAGATGCCCTTTGAAATCTTCTGTTCCGCTCTTTTACTTCATTATTTCTTCCATTCCCTTTAGCTACTCTCCATCCAAAAGCAAGTTTCAGAGTCTCTTCTGACATCCATTTTGATCTCCTCTTCCTTTTCTGTCTTTTTAAATTACTTTTTGTTTTCTTCATGTATGATCCTCCCACAACTCCTCTGGCCTTTCGTCAATGGTATTCAATGAGCCAAATCTATTTTTCAAATGGTCTCTAAATTCAGGTAGCATATAATCAAAGTCATATTTTGGCTCTTGTGGACTTGTTTTAACTTTCTTCAGCTTCAACTTAAACTTGCAGATGAGCTACTGATGATCTGTTCCTTAGTCAGCCCCTGGCCTTATTCTGACTGATGATACTGAATTACTCCATAGTCTCTTTCCACAGATGCAGTCAGTTTTATTCGTGTGTATTCCATCTGGCAAGGTCCAAGTATATAGTTGTCATTTATGTTGCTTGGGAAAAGGTATTTAAATGAGTAAGTCATTTGTCTTGCAAAATTCTATCATGAGAGCTCCAGGGTCATTTCTATCACCAAGGCCATATTTTTAAATTACCAATGCTTCTTCTTTGTTTCCAACTTTCACATTCCAATCACCAGTAGTTTTCAATGCACCTTGATTGCATGTTTGGTGAATTTCAGACTGCAGAAGTTGGTAAAAAGCTTTAGTTTCTTCATCTTTGGCTTTTGCAGTTGGTGTATAAATTTGAATAATAGTAGGAGTTCTGGTGGCATAGTGCCTAAGGCATTTGACTATTAACCAGAAGGCTAGTAGTTCAAACCCACCAGCCACTCCTCAAAAGCAAGACTGGGCAATATAATTCCATAGAGATACCACCCCAGAAACCCAAAGAAGGGTCGCTATGAGTCGGCATCAACTTGACAGCAGTGAGTTTGGTTTTGGTTTGGAGTATTAACTGGTCTTCCTTGTTGTTGTGTTAGGTGCTGTTGAATCATCTCTGACTCCTAGTGACACTATGCAGAGCAGAACGAAACACTGCCTGGTCCTGCGCCAGCTCTGCGATCCTTGCTATACTTGAGCCCATCACCTCAGCCACTGTGTCAATCCATCTCATTGAGGGCCTTCCCCTCCTTCGTCGACCCTCCACCTTACCAAGCATGACACCCTTCTCCAGGGAATGGTGCCTTCTGATAATGTGACCTAGGTGAGATGAAGTCTGGCCATTCTCGCTTCCAAGGAGCATTCTGGCTGCACTTCCTCCACGACAGATTTGTAAGTTCTTTTAGCAGTCCATGGTACTTTCAGCATTCTTCACTAGCACCACAACTCAAATGCATCAATTCTTCAATCTTCTTTATTCATTGTCCAGCTCTCACATGCATATGAGGTGACTGAAAATATGGCTTGTGTCAGGCACACCTTAGTCCTCAAGGAGACATCTTTGCTCTTCAGCACATGAAAGAGGTCTTTTGCAGCCGATTTGCCCAGTGCTATACATCATCTGATGAACTGACTGCTGTTTCCATTGGCGTCGATTGCAGAACTAAGCAATGTGAAGTCTTTGACAACTTCAATCTTTTCTCCATTTGTCATGATGCTGCTTATAGATTGTGAGGATTTTTGTTTTCTTTATAGAGATGTAATCCATACTGCAGACTGTATTCTTCAATCTTCATCAATAAGTGCTTCAAGTCGTCCTCACTTTCAGCAAGCAAAGTTGTGTCGTCAGTGTATCGCAGGTTGTTAATGATTCTTCCTCCAATCTTGACGCCACATTCTTCTTCATATTCTGGACCTTCATTTGCTTATGTGGGACATAAGCATTTGCTTAGCATATAGATTGAATAAGTATGGTGAAAGGATACAACCCTGACACACTTCCTTCTTGATTTTAAACCATGCAGTGTCCCCTTGGTTCTGTTCCAAGACACGTCTATGTATAGGTTCCTCATGAGTACAATTATGTGTTCCCATTCTCCCCAACATTATCCACAGTTTGTTATGATCCACAAATCAAATGCTTTTGCATAGTCAATAAAACACCAGTAAACATCTTTCTGGTATTCGGTCTTCCTTGTAGGTGTATGGATATTATCCTATCACTGACAGGATTTTGAGAACAGATCTCAAAATATTCTTTTTCACGATGAATATGATGCCATTCCTCTTCAATTTGTCATCCCCAATATAGAAGACCTTATGATTGTTCAATTCAAAATGGCCAATACCAGTCCACTTCAGCTCATTGATGCCTAGGATATCGATCTTTATCCATTTCATTTCTGACAACTTCCAATTTTTCTAGGTTTATATTCCATATATTCCATGTTCTGATTATTAATGGATGTTTACAGCTGTTTCTTCTCATTCTGAGTTGTCCCACATAAGCAAATGAAGGTCCAGAAAGCTTTATTCCACCCATATTCATTAAGGTCAACTCAACTTTGAGGAGGCAGCTATTTCCTAGTCACATTTTGAGTGCCTTCCAACCCGAGGGGCTTATCTTCTGAATATTTCCCTGCTATTCATACGGTTTTCAGTGGCCAATTTTTTTTTTTCCCCAGAGTGGACCTGGGCATGTTCTCCTTCCTAGTCTGCGTTAGTCTGGAAGCTCCACTGAAACCTGTGACCCTGTTGGCATCTGAAATACCAGTGGCACAGCTTCCAGTACCACAGCAATACACAAGCCACCACAGTACAGCAAACTCGCAGATGAGTGGTGGCGCTCTCTCTATTAGTAGAAAACTTTAGCTTTCCTTCTCTGACAGGTTTTCACTTTACACTGGTTCTGGATTTCATAGATTTTACCATACAGTTGGATGACAAAAGTTGAGGACTCAGAACAAACAACAATGCCCTAAGGGATCCTGTAAATGTCACTCAGGCCTGTTCCCTAAAAGGGAGAGGGTGGCTTGGTATCTCAAACTAACTCCCATAATGGCCAACAATGCCATTAACAGTACCCAACAGTGCCAAATGGAGGGGGGAATAGAAAACTCTCTTAGGAAAAAAAAAAATCACAAAACAAGCAAATACACACACATAGGTACATATATAGGAGCTCCGGTAGCATACTGCCTAAGGCACTTGCCTGCTAACCAGAAGGCTTGGGGTTCAAACCCAAGCCTCAAAAGGAAGGTTGGGAAATCCACTTCCGTAGTGATACTGCTGCAGAAACCCAAGGAGGGGTCGCTATGAGTCGGATACAACTTGACGGCACATAACAACAACAACAACAAGTACATACAAAAACTAATGTAGGCAAGAAAGTATTAAATTAAGTACTTTTCCTTTAATAGACATTTTCAGTAGTTAGGTTTCAAGAAAATTCACATTTAATGGTCCATTCCTTTTAAAATTACTTGGGACTTTTCCAGTCACAAAAGGAAAAATACTGTATGATCTCACTTATATGAACTAAGCAAATACATAGAAATCAAAGATTATTAGTGGGTTTGGGGGGGGAAGCAAAGTTTTTGCTTATGGGGTACTTAGTTTTATGTTCATGGTGGTAGAATGATTTGGAAAAGATTAGTGATAATGGTTGAACAGCATGCAGGACATGATCAGTGTCACTGAATTACGCAGGTAGAAATTGCTGAGTTGGCAAATGCTTTGTTGCATATATTTTTATCACAATAAAAATTAAATAAATAAAATCACTTGTGACATTTTATATTCCAAATTTTCCCTGGTAAAAATTTTAATAGAAAAGTTTCATTCTTTTATAACATAACCAAAATCTTTTCTTATCCAATTTTCTTTTCACTTCTATTCCTGATTAAGTTTATTTTCATACAATGATATATCTTATTATGAGCCATTGTTTCATTTTTTCCAAACCCATCCATACTCACTTCATCAATTACTGCTATTTAAGGCTGAAAATCTATTACTCTATTTGGCATCCAGTGAAAATACATCAACAGTGTCCTGAGTCTTATTTACTAAGGATATAACTCTATTTGCCATAATGCATATTCTTCTTTAATATCTGTCCAAGAATTGTGTAGAAGCATGAAATTTAATTTCTTGACTTTTTTGACATTTTTTCCTTACCAACTCTGCCTAAAACCTAACATGATGCCAAGTTCAACTGTATTAAATTTTATACAGAATGCTTTTTGATGTCAGAAAAAAATCCTGCTTTTGTCAATAAGAATAATTTCCAAATAGAATTTAAGCCCAAATGACAATGCTATAAAAAGACACAGATTTTATCTAAATGGTTTAATTAACATTCAAAAAATATTATCTCTAATACATTTGTCTCACAAGATAATTAATTTGATTGAAATATTTTCCTTTGATTACTACTTAATATAACATAATAACATACTCACTGAAAGGCTTAGGAATTCATTAAAGTAGTCCACAAGAAAATCATCTGTTGCCAGAGAATCCTCCTGAAAAAACAAAAACACAATATTATGTTTATGCTAATGTGTTTTAAAATGTGCTTATATTATTCTCTAATTCTGCTATAAATTGGTTATAATGTAGATCTTCAAATCTTTTTCAGTCAGTCAAAAGTGAAATCTCAAGACATAAGAAAACAGAATGGTACATATTCTTTAAAGGCCTTGTAGTATACTTAGGCTAAAAAGAGAACGAGGGAAGAAATATGGCACATTAATATATTAATACAAAATAATGCTACACATGGGGAATTCCCCCACAGATTTATTAAAATTACGTATTTCATAAAAATAAGTCAGAGTCAATAAAGACAGAAACAGTGAGGTTAAAATGGAATTAAGAATGTCAATCTCTTAAATAGTTCAATAGAAATGATAGGTAAAGAAAATTATCTACTCTCTTCCTCTCAAAATGAGATAAAGTTTAGTAATTTGGGTTCTGCTTAAATTTACATGAAGAAACTGAAAATGCATATGTTCTAAGAATACAGATTGTATACATTTTTTCCATGGATATCTCATCTACCAACATAGCCACTTTTAAAACTGGCAAAATTGGAAAGGCACTGCCAAGAACAAAATCTTTCATCCAAATCATAAAACACCTTATTTTGTTAGTAATTGTTTCCATTGTGTCAAAAGTACATTATGGCATACTTTGTTGTATAGTACATGTGTTTATTTTGTTATTCATAATTATATTTCTATTTTACAAATCATACATGAAGGTTGACAACATGACACAATGCTATTATTTCCATATGGTTGGTTGGTTACTTCTGACACTAGCCAATTTCTTAAAATGTTGTTGAAATATAGTTCTATAAGGAAGGTACTATAGAATATTAACATCTAATTTGGAAAAAAATGTTTAGGGTAATTTAAGTAATTGCAGTATCAGAATAGAGCTATGAACTATCACTTAAAGGGATTTATATGAAGCAATTTACAAAATATCTGAACTGATTAAAACAATAACAAAAGATTTCATAAATTTACTACCGTAACAGCAGTAACTTAGTAGTAGTATATTCTCAAACAAAGTCTAGATTAACAAAGCTCTAATAAGACAAAACATGGCAGAAAACATTGTAGGGGAGACTAAAAGGCTAGTAACATGTCATTTTACCTTTCAAAGTTACTTTAATTTTCTGGACTTTATTTAGTGAACTACCTAGATTCTGTTAACTCTTAGGAGAAATCAACTGAATTCAAAAAATATTTTTAGTGTCTCCTAGACAGAAGTCATTGTGCTATGGTAAGAATGACACAATTTTGCAATACTGGCCCCACATGATCAAAAATCCACAGATGTGAATCACGCTCAGCTGGCACAACATAGTACATAAAAATGTTGCTCTGTATTCTACTTTGGTGAGTAGCAACTGGAGTCTTAAAGCTTTTGAGTGGCCATCTAAGATGTAACTACTAGTCTCCCAGCCTCTGGAGCAAAGAAGAGTAAAGAAAGTCAAAGTCATTTGGAAACAATTAGTCTAAAGATATGATGGTCCACGAGGACCTCAGCCTTCATGATCAGAAGAACGATGGTGGTCAGCTACTGATGCCAACCACTCGGAAAGGGATCAAAATTGGAGAGCCTGGTTAAAGTGGGAGGAAAAATGTGGAACAAAATTCAAAAACACAAAAATGACCAGAATTACTGGTCAGATAGAGACTGGTAGAACCCCTGAGACTATGGCCTGAGTTATCCTTTGGGCCTAGAAATGGACTTACTTCATGGATTGGCTCTCAGCCCAACAACAGACTTACATGCAAAACACCTACCCCAGGGAGATGCACCCACCTACCCTAGAGATGCACCTCTTAGATCAATCAGCCATGAGATATCACAGGGGCAGCATTCACATACAGGGAAAGCTGAACAAACAGGAATGCACAGATAAGAACAGCAGTGGGGGGAGCGCTGAGCAGGGAGGAAAGGGAAGAAGAGTTTTTTATGGTTGAGGATTGTAATCAGTGCCGTGAAATCAAATGTGCATGAACTTTTGAGAGTAAAACAAATCTGCTTTGTAAATCTGTACCCAAATCACAATTTTTTAAAAAAATCCACAGATGTGAAAGGTTAATACATATTTTGAATTAATAACACCAGTGGAGCATAGTATCATTAGTTTTTTAAAACTATGTATTTCTAAAAATTTTCAGCTGTAATACAGGATGTGCATTTCATAAGGTAAAGTAGACCTTAATATTGCCTAGGATTGGGTCAGACACATTGCCAGAAATTTCTAGATAACCTGGGATTCATATATTTCCATTTCCAGATGCAGTTCCTTTGCAGACACATTTCCAGATGTCTCACAGTTCTAAGAGATGCTACTTCAGTGCTTTTCAAACTGTGCTGAAGTACCTGTTTGTTTGTTTGTTTTCAGGAATCCATTTCAGACACATAACTTTAGTAAAATACAATAAAAATAAATTACTAGAAAATATAACAGATATACATAATACAAGCTCAATTTACTATTATATTGAATATATAAACACACTCTGTTAAACTGCTATAAGTTTCTAAACATTTCCTCTCAATTTGAACTCATCTCATCATTGACTGATAAAAATTCTCAAACCAGTCCCAGTCTACAGACAGATAGCAGCGCCTTGAGTTAGCACTGCTCTAGCTCTCTAGCTCCTTGGTCAGAGGTTGCTTTCAGCTCCTTCTGGTCCTCCTGAAACCAAACCACACTGATAGGGCATTTACTGTACTTGATATTCAGTTACATACTCAGGTTTACATATAAAGGCAACCACAGAAACTTAAGGGAGCTCTGCTAGCACAGTGCCTAAGGCACTTGACTGCTAACCAGAAGGCTGGCGGTTCAAACCCACCAGCTACTCCTCGGAAGGAAGA